CAGTCCTCACAGTAAGAAGAGTAGCAGGACTCCAACCCTTGATGACTGTCTTGATGACCTGAGCGACATTATCAGGGATGCTAGGGGGAATAAGGCCCGTCAAGTCACTGATGCCGAGGAGATTGCCCAAGTCAATCAGATTCTGAAGCAAGATGGTTACATCGAGAGTGATGTAGTCTTTGCCCAAACCCTTAATCTTTGCAGCAACAGGCTAGATTTCAATGCAATGAGGACTAAAATACCATGAGAAATGATTAATACAAGTGTAGTTCATCAGTTGATTCGATCGTCTTTATAAGTATCTTACTAGTGTCAGTGCACGTTGGAACCTAAGTTATAGTTTAAAATTCATGGCCATGGCTACATACTTTTTTTTTGTCAGTGTTTGGTAGTTTTGTTGGACTTAGAGAACCAAAATTGGTTGAGGAGAAGAGTTTAAATTTCAAATGGCTATTCAGCCAATTTGAATTGCCTGGGGACTGGCTGGCTGCTGGAAGCAGTTGCTTGGCTGGCTGGTTCAGCACCAACTCCAGCCAGCCAATTCAAGCGTGCAGGCTGCAAGATCTCAAGCTGGAGTTGCTGTCTACCATTCTACTATACTTACCACGCATGAATTTCACACCTGGCTACAAAAGATTTCACAGAAATCATCTTGAACCCATGGATTTCTTGGAGATTCCCTTAGCTCCAGACGTGCTCATAAGTCATACAAATGGTTAAGGTCAGTAAATAACCTTTGGCGCATTCACCACCTAGTGAGCTTTGCTTGCTGTGCACCAGCCTTGCAAAAAAAAAAAAAAAACAAGACAACAATAGCCGAACGGGAACTTTGTTACACCGAAGTGTAGCTCAGCATGCAGTGTCCCCATCGCGAGTTCACGCACAGCAGGGCACAGCCTAATGCCAAGCTGGCGTGCGGGGCCCACCCCGGGCCTTGTTTAGATTGACTCAAAGTTTTGAGTTTTTTTACTCTCTTCATCACATTAATTTTTGAACGCATCGTATAGAGCATTAAATATAGATAAAAAAGTAACTAATTACATAGTTTGGTTGTAAATCACGAGACGAATCTTTTAAGGCTAGTTAATCCATGATCAGATAAAAATTATCAAATACAAATAAAACATGCTATAATATTTAGATTGTAAAAATTTACTATCTATACCAGACCCCGGTACCCCATCGCAGTCGCAGAGGCGCGCTATTTGAGAGAGCGAGAGCCCTTGGCGCCCTTGCAAAACCCCGCTAATTGCAAACGCGCACGCAGCTCAGGGCAGAGGCGGGGGATCTGCTGGTCTGGCGGCAGACGGTCAGCTAATTTATTGTAAGAAAAAAATAATATTTAAAATAAAAATTTACGATCGTTTACCGACAAGTGAAGATGTGAAACTGGAAATGGGAGGAGGCATTTATTTATTTTTTGACAGATAGCCCCCCGCGTTTGCTCTCTTATTCGCCCCGCGTCCGCTCTTGCCATACGCTGCTCTTCTCCGTTCGCCCCTCCTCTCTCTCTCTCTCGCCGCCCGGGGGAGAAGGAGGGCTCCGTCCGCCGCTCGCTCCCGGGGAAGAGCCCGCCATTGCTGCCGCTGGTGAGTTGCCCTGTCCCCCTCTGATCCCACTCCCTCCCCTCTCTCGATCGCATCGTGCTGCTCCGCTAGGCTAGACCCCGTGGCCGGCCGCATTGCACAATGTCGCTCGCCCGGTCTAGTTTCGTAGTCTCGTAGATGTACGACGTCGGAGATTTTTTTTTTCGGCGCTTGGGCGGCGGCGGCGGTGGTTTCAGTACCCCCCATGCCTTGGATCTAGTCTACACCGAGATTGCTCTGCCCGCATTTGTTGCCACGGTGTTGTACCAAGTCTGTTCAGATTCGTGGGGTCATTTGACTGCAAAAGAGTTTAAAAAAAAATCGTGTAGATACTAGAGGCAGGTATGCGCTTGTGACACTCAAGTACTGGTTGCCAAATTCGTGCTAGCATACGCTGTGGGCGGTCGAGTAAGGAGATAAATATTGCCTGTTGTGTGCCGGAGCCACATGCCGATGAGGCGATCATTGCCCGATCCGTGGCCAGGGGGGAAAAAGGTGGTAATCATGATATCCTCACTGGTGTGTGTCCACTGTCTAGGCCTCACGCTCGCTAGTTCGGCGCGGCTCTCCTCACCATTGTCAGTTGGTTTTCCTCATCTCGCCAACTACGAGTTGCTCCCTGCGCTGTTGAAGTCTGTAGTTTTCTGAATCTGTCTTTGCTTCCTCACTGTCGAGTGTGGTATGTGATGTGAGATTCTGTGGTGCAGGTGCAGCGCTGACTGGGGAAGATGGTTGTCCAGGAGTTCACAGTTGATCTCAACAAGCCCCTTGTTTTCCAGGTATGCTTCACTCTTAATTAGTTGCTTCTTTGCGATGATTGTTGTGAATCTTAGCTTTTTTGAAGTAGCTTATGGGATTGTCTTTCGCACTTTACAGTTCTCATTGCTTTTGAGCTTGTTTAGTGCAACTTTGGGTTTTTTTCAAAACCAGGTCTAATGGTATAGACTCTGCCTTTTCCTCAGCAATAATTGTGGCAGACATACTGCTGATGTATATTATGAAAGAGGAATCTCATGTAGTTGTGAAATTCTGAGTTTCTGAATCGATGTCCAGTTGCTTCACAGTTGACATAACCGTCTTCTTTTATTTTTTTAAATAAACACATAATCGTCTTCTGGCTGCCTATTAATTTTGTGGATGAAGGTTGGCCATCTTGAGGAACGTTACCAGGAATGGGTTCACCAGCCTATCGTCAGCAAGGAGGGTCCACGCTTTTTTGGAAATGATGTCTTGGAGGTAACGCATTCCATCATATTTATATCCCATGGGGTTTTGGTGCGTACTAACAAACTTTTTTGGATGTCCAGTTCTTGACTCGCACAAAGTGGTGGGCTGTGCCAACTATATGGCTGCCTGTTGTTTGCTTCATATTCGTGAAATCTATTTTGATGGGTAATACCGTCCAGGACGTAGTTCTGATGGCTCTATTAGGAATGTTTATTTGGACGCTGATTGAATATAGTTTGCACCGCTTCCTATTCCACATTGAGACCAAAACCTACTGGTAAGAATACTTCAACCTTCAAGTTGGCAATGTCTCATTATGCCTTCCTTCTGCTCTTCAAATTGCTGTCGATGCAATGTTGCAGGTGGAACACCGCACATTACCTTCTTCATGGATGCCACCATAAGCACCCTATGGACTCGCTCAGGCTTGTTTTTCCTCCTACTGCAACAGCAATTTTGTGTTTCCCGGTATAGCCCTGAAACTGTTATACACGCAACAAAAGTACTAACACTATGCTTCAAACTGGATTGGCCGAACTGGAACTTTTGGCCATTCAGAAGAAATATGGCCGATTCAACTGAACCCTCCAATGTTTTGATTTCAGTTTTGGAACCTGGTCGCATTCTTCGCAACTCCATCAACCACACCTGCATTATTTGGAGGTGGTCTGTTGGGATATGTGATGTATGATTGCACTCACTACTACCTGCACCATGGACAACCATCCACAGACCCAGCAAAACATCTCAAGGTGAGGACCTAATGCCTCTTATAAAAAAGTCATGAATTAGCCAGCTGCTCCATGGAAATGTCCACAAGGTTTTGATTCCTTGAAACTTTGCCTGATATGCAGAGGTATCACCTCAGCCATCACTTCAGAATCCAAGACATGGGCTTCGGCATTACCTCATCGCTTTGGGACGCTGTCTTTGGGACATTGCCTCCATCCATGACACCTGGGAAGAACTGACGCACATAATAAAATTCTTGGCATGAAAAAATCTAGGGGATCTGTAATATATATTCAAGCCAGGGACGATCCTGGATCTGTCTTCGATGGGTTGACATGTCCATTCAGTTCAAAGTTCATGTGGTGTACTGATGTCTGTTGATCTATTCTGAATGTGAAGATAGTATTTCGCTGCCTCAGCATTGTGTGCATTGCCACTATCAAAAATCGCATGCTAACTCTTTCCGTCTAGTTCTCAAAATCAGGGCATCAGACACTTGCAAATGCAAGATTCTCTCTCACTCGTTTGTTTCCTCCTCTGGGTCCCCATCATGAGCTGTCTCAGTCTGACAGCCAGGAGCATCACAGTTGGAAGACTGGGTATATCTGATGGATATTCTGTGCTTGAGTTCATAGATTCAGGAGAGTGCCGCAAATTTTGTGCGTTTGAGAAAGGTATGAACAGCTAAGACCACACAAGAAAACAATAATTGCTGTGTACCAAATGTCATGTTTATGCTAACTCAATCTGTAATGATAATAAAGAAAATGTGACCAACCTAGGAAGAACTAGGCTGTTTTTCATTAAGAAGAAAATAGTCATCTAAATTCAAGGTGAGGGAGGAATTAAATCTGGGTGGTTAGGTACATGACCACACTTTTCACCCAACTAGTATAGTTATGCTCACTTGCTACTTGTCATGTTAATTAAAAGGAAATATGAAAAAGGAGGCAAGAAGAGCAGCATCGTGAAGTAAAGAATTCAAACCATTAGAATTTGTTATGGCTGGAGAAGACACTTATTGCAGTTGCAGATGGCACTGGAAAACCCAATAAAATTATAGAGGCCTATCTACCAAGTTGTTTATTTCTCACGATATAAGCACGGTTCTGCGATATTTCATTACATTTAGACATGTTATGAGATGGGACAGGAAAGCACATGTCAATCATTCTGATTCAGAACTTCAGCATATTCCTCTCAGAATAATGTGATCGTGCACACACAACAGAGATCATATATTTGAATATTTCAACAGTAACCAGGTGATACAACATTAGTTGCGATTACGAATGAAGCTGATCTCAAAGAAATTTGAGCTTGTAAAGAAATAAAATGTATAGAAACAAAACTAACACCGCAAAAGCTAATGTCCTAGAAAGTTTAGCACAAGCCAGTGGCAATACATGACCAGACAGGCCCAGCAGCTCACTGCCCACCTAGTACCAGCATTCTTCAAGAGCGGATCATACGAGGTGAATTTTTAGGCCGCCTTCTCTTTCCACTTTTCTGGATTTTCGGTTGACTGGTCACCAGTGCATACATTTTGACAGCAAATAGTTCCTCCGGGAGCTCCTTTTGGTCCTGTTTCATTTGCAGGATGAGATGGGATGATGAGAAAGATGAAGAATAAACTAAATAACATCAGCACTTTTGAATGCTTACCTTAACACTGAGGATATATAATCCACACCTTTTAAATAGCTCCCTAAAGTATGGGTCCGATCTAGTGACACTGTTATCCACCTTGTCTAACACAAAACCTGAAAAAACATACATTGTGTTCTCAGAGCAACATCAAGCATATGATCTTCTTGAAGTAAAACATTAGAAACAATGCATTGTAACCATTTCAGTTGAGTACAACACCACTTTTCGCTAGAAAAGATGTTGTGGTAGATAAACAAAATATATGGTACAACAAACTCACCATTTCTTGCAATGTTCTCTTTCAGAACAAAGAAACCATCAGGTTTGAGCCCAACCTGGAAAGAAATTAAAGTATATTCCTGATTAGAATCCATTAGAATTTGATAATATGGCGCTAATAATAGGTGCACAAACAAGATCAGTTGGAAGGGTTCGTTCAATTGCATATCTAAGGAAAAAGTAGTATGATTACAAATAGTGTGGCTTATATAGGTGAACTGGCATTTCCTTAGAACAAAAGATTGATATACAACCAGAAATATAACATTTGTCCAGGTAATATATACAGAAAATCTTTCTACCAGTGCACCAAAAGTTCATCTGCAAGCCATTATTTCAATGGAAAAGAATTCCATGAAACCTAAAATTGTATTATAGCACTTATTTGCCAATACAAGTGTCAAATTTGCACTTTAAGTCCAACTAAATGTTTCAATACAATCCAACAAAAAAAGCAGCGTACGATTGAAAATAAATTAATGAAGTCATAGTCAAGTCACCTTTGCACGATTAAAAAATGAAATGAAATCATCATCAGGAAGTTGTCCTATGCACCACTGAATCCAAATCACATCATATCTTCCTTCCTCAGGAGTGAAGTCCTGAAGAAAGAAGTAAACTAGATTATACACAGAGAAGGGGAGAATAAATTTTCAAAGAATACCTAAAGAGAGATAATGACCTACGGTACCACCTGAAGAGGCACACAGTAAAAGTTGGCAGCCTTGTGTGAGTCTTCTCCTTGATCCATATATCCAGTAAGATTTTCCCGTGCTGCTTCAAGAAAATGAGATACTGGCTCCAAAAGATCTACCTGAATTCCAATTTTTCAAAAAGGATCAAAACAAAAGAAGACAAACAAAAATACCACAGATCAAACATAAAATAACAATTTAAATGTGTATACATCAGAATAATGGAAATAGGTCGTTTGCTGCAATTATCATGGTATATGCTGTACGCATACATGTACAAGACGCTGCAGTTTCTGAGTATGCATCTATCTCCAGGATTAAAGGAGCATAACCAGAGAAGACAAGTTCCATACCTCGTGGAAATGCCTAAGAAGAAAATTCTTTGTGACACGTCCAATACCCGAGCCACAATCTGACACAGTGTGAAAAATGACACATAAGAGCATCGCAGATTGCACACAAGGATTCCATAAAATGAACATTATTACACAGTAACTTTCACAGAGTGAAATCACTAGAACAAAACTCGCACATAAACAAGCTCTAATGGCACTAGCCAAAACTTCCTTGCAGTAATAAATAAACTCACCAAGCGCAACCAGATGACGCTTCGCGGTGCCGAACCGGTCTGCGAGGAGAGGGCGGATGAAGGCGTCACTGCCCTTGACATCCACGTCGTTCACACACCCATAACCTCCCAGGACCCCCTCGGTCGACGCCTCCACGCCCTACGGCACCAATTCGACCAAATTCTAAGCTAAATTTGTAGGCATGAATAAGTATTTGGATTGGGGTTTAGGGTTCAGGGCGGCCTCGAAGAGGAGGAAGAGTGGTTGCTTTACTTGCCAGTAGGCGATAGCCTTGGAGTACCACTCCTTGCGCTTCCCGTCTCCGGCCCCTTCCTCGCTGGCGCCACCGCTGCCTTCGGTGGCAGTGGGGGGGGCCGGGGCGGCTTCGGCTTCCGCTGCGGTGGAGCCGATCTCTTCTGCCCACATCTCGGTGGCGTTGGAGAAGATGCGGCCGGCGGAATCGAATCCGCGGGAATCCATTACTCCGGCGGCGGCGGCGGCGGCGGCGGCGGCTGAGTGATGGCTGCTTCTGCTTGCGCGCGTCCTCGAGGCGAAGGGGAGAGGGGTTCAAATGTTCTGTTTCAGTTTTTACAGGGGCCGATTAGCATATGTGAACTCGCGGTGCCGCAACGATGGTGTCCACTTTTCGCGAAATCGCCTATCCATGAGGTTCTTTATAGACAAAAATGGACATATATGACATTAGCACATTGTTGCAGCGACCAAAAGTCAAGAAATCCTTTTCTTTTTCAGAAAATTCCCCTGCGTCATTTTGATTTTGAGATAGTATTCTTTTGTATTTTAAATAAATTGCAACAAACATCTCTATGTCAGTTGAATTTTGAGATAGTTCACTTGTACAGTAGTTGACAAAAACACCCCGATACAATATGTTTGACTAATTCCACCCATTTTCACCCATGTAGAGCTATTAGACACGATGATGGGTCCCATTGCTTGGATTATGCTTATTCATGATGTTGCAATAAAGAAATTGTGCAAATACCAAAAACACCATGGCCATCGTCGATGATCCTTTTAGTCGAAGCTCTAAACTATATTAATGTATACACCTTGAGAAAATACTCTCTACGGATAGCTTCTTAGACGTTCTCCATTTTTTTCATTTAGGCAAGTTTTAAAGGTGTTGCGACTCTAACAAGACGCAAGTGGTATCAAGTTCTAGGCTTCCAGCAACAATAAATATGATACCATTGCATGTAGTGACTTAAGCAACTAGCTTGCATGTTGTGTAACCGAAGAAGGGATCGACTTGCATGTTTTTGTTTCATGTCAACACAAAGGCAAGTGACATGGGGGGGGGGGGGGGTCGATGTAGGAACATTATTTACACCTCTAGCCATGCACTCTCTCCCTTCTGCTCAACACACCATGCTGAAATGATGTCCAATGGCTATGTTCAGAGCCAACAATCCACGAAACACGCATTGATAGCCTCGGAGATTGGTAGATATGCTTGTAGAAGCTAGGATATCCCCATTTGACAAAAGGCAAAAGCACTAACTGGAGCGCGCATTGGCCCCGTTCGCTTCGCTGAAAAAACAAGCAAAAACACTGTTCCAGCTGATTTGTTGTGAGAGAAAAACACGATTAAAGCTAAAAAAATAACCTGAAAAAGACGGATTATAAGAGAAGCGAACATGGCCATTGTGGCGAAGACTGAAGAGACACTCTACTGTGATGTCACCTTCCCCTAAATCATATCCCCATCTGACAAAAGGCTAAGGCACTTATTAGAGCATGCGTTGTGGTGAAGAGACACACTATTGTCATGTCACCTCCTCCAACGTCCATTCAAGACTCAAGAGCTTGAAAAGTAGCTACCGTTCAGTAGAGACTCGTGGGACGAGGAACAATAGCCTACGCTGAGAGAACAGTAACACTAGATCATCTTAGTCTATGTAACAGTGACACTAGAGTACTACTTTTAGGTGAAGCTAACAACGTTGGTCTTGTCCTAACTTTGTAGGAGCCCTAAGTATATCCAACTTTGCAGCGCCACATTTTGGTGGACTGGTGGTGGCAGGCTGCGTGAGGGGAGGGGTGATTTTTGCAATAAAACATGTGGGGGCCTTTGCAACAGAATGTATTCGGAAGAATGAGTACAAGTGTACAACATTCTTTTCGTTGCATAAACCATAGTGACATATTGGGTGGTTTTTTTTCGACTTTGCTTTTCTGAAAGAAATACTAGAAGATTGAGATACATTGGAAATTAACATTTCATCTCCACAAACATATTAGCCCTAACTAATCTCTTGTAATGTAACATTATAAAGTCATCGCAAAACTTCAAGCAGATTTGGCAACGTATCTCGAGTGACCCATAAGGCCACCACTGGTGTTAGAAGAGAAGCTACACTGAATAACTATTGCAGGGTGCCTTTCTTTAACATATGATACTCATACAGAGTGAACCATTGTATTTTTCCTCATAAGAAAAGAAACAATGCTGGTAGATCTATAGTCGGTGGTCAAGAGGCCAAAAAAATGTCACAGTATGGGCAAACTATATTCTACCTAGTACAAATTCCGGTGTTTTGAAGCTTTTTGCTACTATTGTTGTCACACGTTGAATCTGAAAAGCATGACATCTCCTTCCTGCACAACATAATCCTTTCCTTCCAACCTCAACTGCAGTCAAAGTAACAGATTAAATAAACAAGCAAAGAAAGCGTATTTTTAACTACATGTTTCAAATCACTGAATGTAAGGTGTAGCAACGCAAATATCTTTACCAGCCCTTTCTCCCTTGCTACTCCAAGAGAACCAGCTGCAACAAAATCATCATAGGATACCTGAGGTATGGTAGTAATCATTGTACAATTAGTAAATATGAAACAAAAAAAAGCAGGTAAATCGATATATCCAAATTCCATAGAGGTGAAGTATCGGCATTTGTAACTACGATATATCATAACATGTAAACTGAAATATGAAATTTGGTCACTAAATTCTCATCATTTTGTACACAGCTTACAGTTTCAGCTCTGATGAATCCTTTCTGAAAGTCACTATGAATAACTCCAGCTGCTTGTGGCGCAGTCATGCCTACATATAGAATTACATGCAGTTATAATGATTACAAAAACTTCTTCAAATGTTACAATAAAAATAATTGTGAGGAAGAAGGAAACCTGCAAGAATAGTCCAAGCTTTTGTTTCCTAAAAGGACACAGTTAAAGGTCTGTCAGTTTGTGTTAACTGCTGGGGGGAAAAAACCTTTAACAGCACAAAAGATGCACCTTGTCTCCAGTTGTGAAATAAGTTCTTAATCCCAATAGATTATATGTTGCTTTTACCAAATTTCCTAGTCCACTTTCAGCAACACCAAGAGATTTTAAATATTCTACTCTCTCTTCCAAAGGTAGCTCAGCGAGTTCAGCTTCAACCTGTTTGTGCATTCCATGATTTTGTTAGCATAGATGGAGCACATATGGATAGGCAACATCACTCAGGCAAAAATATGAAATTATTTCACAGAAATTTCTTCAAAAGCTTCCAGTAGTTTAAATGCATACAACAAACCTGAGCTGATATTGTAACCATGCCAGACTGCAAGTCTGATGCTGCTTTAGTCACCTCTTTGACATGAGGATTGTTATCAGGTTCAGCAAGATCAGATTCTGTTACATTAGCAACATAAATGACAGGTTTCATAGTTAGCAGACAAAGATGTTGTATAGCTTCTTTCTCATGCTCAGCTAAATCGACCGATCTTGCAGGCTTTCCTTCCATAAGCGCCTGCTGAATTTTTTCCAATCCTGATTTCTCTGCTTGTTCCTAAGTAGTTACAACAGTTAGAACATAGAAAAAAAAAGGTCATCAGAATGAAAGAATTCGTATGTCTTACCTTCACTTTTACTTGCACATCTTTAGTTTTGCTCTTGTTAAGCTTATCTAGCCTCTTCTCTATCTACAGTTAGTACACAGCAATTGGAGAGGATCATAGATAGCAATAGAAGTTTCTTTTGAAATACGTGACAACAAGACGAATGGAAGTTCCTTCACCAAATTACCTGTTCAAGATCCGAAAATATGAGCTCTAGGTTAATGACATCGATGTCTGATCTAGGATCGACCTTGCCATTGACATGGACTATATCGTCATCCTCAAAGCATCGCACAACCTGAGAATCCAGTAAAAAAGAACAGATAATTAGTTACTCCTAGAGCCTCGACACAGCTAATATCTTATAAGAGGCTCATCCAATAATATTTTGCTATCTCCAACAAATAAGAAATGATCTTCGCAAAAAAAAAAAAAAAAAAAGAAAGAAATGATAATGAAGCACCAGCAGTGAGTTGCAGTGCTGGATAAGGATAACAGAGTGGCTCCAATTTTACTTCACATATCACATATCAGTAAAATTGGAGAAACAAGGGATATCTGATGGAGAATTGTATTATTATAGCCTGTAAAGTATAAAGATGCCAGCAGGATGCCGCACACAGCCACTAGAACTTGGGCAAATATATAAGAGCTTAAGCATACAAGTACAAGATACCAACCTGAAGTATAGAATCCACTTCACGGATGTTTGAAAGGAATTGATTTCCTAGTCCCTGTTGTCAATTGTCAACAATAACACCACTATGTATAAACTAATCTGAAACCATCTAAACTTTGCTCAGCAGAGTTGGAGCTATCCTGCAGGTAGATTGAAGACAATGACAAAACTTCTACCTCTCCTTTGCTTGCTCCCTTGACGAGACCTGCAATGTCCACAAGCTCAATGGATGTTGGGACCGTCTGCTGCGACTTGCTTAATTTTGAGAGCACCTGCAAACGAGGATCAGGGATAGCCACCACACCAACGTTTGGGTTGATGGTGCAAAAGGGAAAGTTTGCAGCTTGTGCCTTCCCGTTTTCAACCTGAAAAAAAAAATTGAGAACAGATTAACATTAAATTATTCCTTGGAAGAACCTGTCCTATGTATATCGCAACCACGCTCGGCAACGATGACTCATGGTAGTGTGTACTCTACCGCGTTGCGTGGGTGGGCTAACCTTTCGCAGTGTTTGGCACCACTCTTGGTTACCTTTGCTTGTATATAAACTTCATTCGTCTTAACTGAAAGGCAGAGCTCCTGCCATTGTTTCAAAATATATATATATATATATATATATATATATATATATATATATATATATATATATATATATATATATATATCATACATTTCTCCATTTGAAACATTTTACCGCAACAAGTCCAGAAGGAAACTCTTACAAATTATACAAACCTACAGTGTCAGCCGTTCCACAAGAATGTCTATGTGGCAAAACGTCGAACAGTTGGCGTCCACGGACATCCACCAACATACACGCTACAATTCCACCCTATACCGAGCTAATGAACGAATCCAGAAGAAAATGTATAGAGAAGAAAAGAACCTACACATTTCTCTCCCATCTAGACTCCCCGATTATTACGAGTTCTTGACAACACGAATTCCTCACAGGAACAGGAAGCAACGAAACGAGCAAGCTTAATTACTCACAATGGCGTTGAAGAGAGTCGACTTGCCGACGTTGGGAAGCCCGACGATGCCGGCGCGGAGGCTCATGCTAATCCGTGCCGCGCGGCCAGACGAGAACCGCCGGGCGCGGCTGGCCCGGCTCCAGCGCCAGTGCTGGAGTAGTGCCGACGAGCCGCACGGGGAGGGCAGGGTCGTCGCGGTCTGCGCCGCCGCGGGTGCCCGCGTGAAGCCCGCGAACGCGGAGCCGAGCGCGCGCGACACCGTCGTCATGGGCAGCGCCGGGGGAGTTCGTGGGCGGCGCGGGAACACGGTGGGGCGTACGGTTGTCAGGGACGAGAGAGGTGCGAGATGGATAGATGGATGGCACGTGAGCAGCGCGTGATGGCTTTCAAAACGCACCCGCGAGTCGGCGAGGAAGGGAGTTTTAACTTTTTTATTTACCCACCGTTCGGAACGATGCTCCTTTAGGGCTTCCCAATGCAGCCTTAATTTCTATGTCAGCGTTGTGTATTCGCGTCACGGCGGGTTGTGATGCGGCTTTTGATCAAAACAGTGGCTGGGGCTGCATTCTCCGCGATTCGGCAATCACGGTAAAACGTGGAAGAGTGGAAGCTCTCATGGACCCAATGCATGGTGAACTCGTTGCTTGCAAACAGGGAGTCCAGGCAACAATTGAAATCGGCGTGGGTCATGTTGTTGTTGAAACTGATGCAACGTCCGTGGTGCAGGCTGTGTACACAAGCTCCTATGATTTCAGTGCTATGACCAATCTCATCTCTGAGTCGCGAAGCCTGTTAGCTCTGAATTTCATCTCTCGGAAGATCCAACAACGTCCGCGTTTACGTAATAGGGTAGCCCATGAGTTGGCTGTTTTAGGTAGCCTATGCGACCCGGAGGAGGAACATTCTTTCATCTCCATTCCGGTCCATATTCAATCTGTACTTGCTGATTATTCAGCTTTGTCTGAGTAATGAAAATCCTTATTTTCCTTCAAAAAAAATTGTCAGAAAGTCTCGTGGAAGCAGCGGTGGTTTAATTTGACAAAAAGTGAAAGCAGCAATCTAAGCGTGCGTTGGAGGCGAGGAATTACACCGTCGATGACGTTTGGGTCCGAGGGCGTCCCCAACAAGTAGATTTGAGCTAGGTATTTGATTGCTGACTGTACTCACGTGGTGGAGAGAGAAGTCTGGAAAAACAAACAGCTAGCGATTGTTTTTCTCTCCCAGAATAACAGCCGCAACAGCGTTTTTTCCAGCCGCTACAGTGAAATTTTAGGGTCAGCCGAACGCGGTCACGTGGTGTCCGTTCATCTTTCTCATCCGTGAGTTCAGGCTTTCATTTTTATATTCGTTTAGGGCTCGTTCGGTTCAACTGGGCCAGAAACCATTCCTGTTCACCGAAGCTTATTCAAATTATGTAATGAATCCGGCGTGGAATATTTCTCGGCAGTCATTCCCCTTCAAACGAACGTGGCCTTACACTGCTACGTTAGCCGCGTGACGTCGCCCGTACCGCTGGGGACGCCCTAAGGGCCATAGATGTGTCTGCATCTTCCCTCCTAAATTGTAAAGGGGAAAGTGACGTTTTAGGAAAGAGATGGATAATGGTGGAATCTAGATAAGTATGACCCCGTTCGCTGGTCTGAAACTTGGCCGGCTGAATTGTTGTGAGAGAAAAACACTGTTCTGGCTGAAAAAAGAAACCGAACAAACCGAATATGGGATAAGCCGAACAGGTTTGTAACTTGCATTGTGAGATCTATATGGAACCGACGTCTTTGGTGAAGCTAATACTCCATATGATGCCATAAAATCATTGTGTAAGGATGACATCTACATCTATATCACCAGTGAGAAAGGCTTTTTACTGAATTTTTTTACTAATTTTGTCCACACGACGAGACACACCAGCTAGCCTAGATGCCGATGGAGAAGCCAAACTCGAAAATGTCCCTCTACTTTCTGGCTTAATGCATTGGCACCTCTCCAATGTTTCAATTACTTTATTTGCTTCACATCAAGCAAAAGTCCGCAAATCTAACATGGCATGAACATATTGAAGGTGACATAGCTATTGGTGACCCTAACTTAGGACGGATTAGACTTAGCGTCGAAGCACATGTGGTGGGATTCGGTATTGTTTGCTTAGTGGCACTTGCAAAGGCAAGTAAACCATCGGTGGCATAGAACGAACCGCCATCGTAACCTGTGGAGGTGAGGAGGCGATGTGGCGACGGTGCGTGCAAGGGCAACCAAGGGATGCCATGCGATGGTGGCAGGGTGAAATGTCTCGCTCCTTCGGTAAAATTTGTAAAAGATGTTTTGAATTTTTTTTAGATACACAAGTTTTGCTATGTGATTAGATATACGCTATGTCTAAAATAAGTAGTAAAAGAAAATTCTATAATTTGCGAGAAAAAGAAAGCCATACCTAAAAGGGCAAAAGTTAAATATCCCGGTGAGGAGAACTGATTGGTTGCAAGATCCACCGTTGAACACCAAACAAAACCTGAAACCACAACTTCATAAAACCTCGCCGCCGCCGCCGCAGATGGCATCGGAGGAGCGCCCCTCGCCGGCACCCTCGGACGACACCACCACCACCGTCTCGGACGAACATCTGAGTCCCCCGTCATCACCTTCCACAACCTTCGACTCTGCTCCCGAATCCGATGTCTCCGCCGCGTCCTCGCTGCTCTCGGACGGCTCTTCAGGGCCCGATCCCGAGCCCGTCGTTTCCAGAAAGCCCCGCCCGCCACAGCGCTCGTGGCCGGACTCCGACGAGATCGCGCTCCTCGAGGCCGTCGCGTCGCACCGGCAGAAGCACGGGCGGCTTCCGTCGCCCGACGACCTCGTCGCCGCGCTGCGGGGCCGCCTCCGCGCGGAGGACCGCCTCAGCGCCGAGCAGGTCGCCAAGCGGCTGCGCGCGCTCCGCTCCCGGTACGACAACGCCGCCATCCGCCTCAAACGCGGCATAATCCCACCGAAGGACGGCGACGTCACCATCTACAAGCTCTCCAAGCTCATCTGGGCGGACACGCGCACGGGGAAGAGGGAGAAGAAGACCCGTGCGGCCGACGCGCGCGAGGACCCAAGGGGGTTTGACGAGCTGACCGAGCTGTACCCTTGCCTCTCCGCGGAGGCGGAGGCGATTGATGCGAGGTGCGGCTACGGGTCGCTGAAGAGGGCGTTCGGGCGCATCGGTGACGACACGGCGGCGCGGCTGGAGGCGAAGCTGAAGAGGCAGCGGGTGGCCGAGGCCAGGGCGAGCGCAAAGCTTGACAAGCTGAGGACGAACGTTGCCAAGGCGCTTCAGGGATTTATCAAGTGAATGGTGATTTCTTCATCTTCTTTCTGTTCGTACATGGATTGCCGTAGAAAGACACAGTAAGATTGGCTCCTTGGCATGGTTTCATGATTGACATGCTATCAGATTCTTTGTGGCAAGTTTGAGGGCACCATCAACTGCAAACAATCTGAAATGTCATGCCGTGAATGGTTGGCATTGAGTTTGTTTTGCACTACCATTGTCTGAGCTACGAACCGGTTTTCAGAAAGAAAATAAATTTCCCCTCGGCAACAAAACTCGAAGTACAGAAGTACACTGATTCTCTGCACAATCTTATGGTTTGTTGGTTTGAAGCCGCTAGCACGCACAATCTAATGCAAATGGTAGTTACAGCATGACACACAATTTATGGGCAAAACATTTCATGAAGCCCATCTAATGCAAATGGAAGAAATGGAAAGAGTGATGATATTTCAAGAATAACGTGTTTTGCATCGATGGGCAATTTTGATCATCGTATAAAGTTAGGGCAGTGTTCGGAAGGGCTTCTGCTCCCAGATTATCATCCAGAGCAACTGGAGTTGGAGCACATTCCAAACACTACCCTGTGAATCTGTGATTGTGACTATGACTGTGATTCTCTGAATTCTTTATGATTCAGAATGCTGATCTTCTTGCATTTTATTTTCCCATGCCCTTTTGATTGTCATTATAGGTATAGCTCAAAGTAGCATGATTAGTAGCGTAGTAGTAGTAGTTGTAGTAGTAGTTTCATTGTAGAGTCCTCTTGTAGTACTCAAAAAATTTATGAAACTTGGTTACCTCCAGGGTTGCAGTTATACGATTTCAAACTCTTTGCAATTTTAGCCTGGGTGTTGTGGACAACTCATAATAAAATGTTTATTGAGCAATAATTCCCCAAATTCCGTACTGAAGTTCTCCACAAAACTACTTTTGGCTTGCAGAAGTGGTGGATTTTGTTGAAGGAAGCTGATCCATGGATGTCTGGAGGATTATTACACGCCCCAAGTGAAAGTGGCTTTAATATTTTGTCAAGGAGTGTAAGCTACATAACATGGAGGACTTGCTCTGATGTTCTGGTTGCTTAGTTCTTAGAATTGCAGTTCTGCTAGTGACTGTTCCTTTCGTTTGCTGTTTGGATGTTTGCCTCTAGCTGTCTTGCCTGTGTTGTGCTTCCCTTTAAGGGCTTGTTTGGAAACATAGCAATCCAGAAAATAGTGGTTGATTGCAAATGTGCTAGTTAATGAGCATTCGAACTTGATCTTTACGTGACAGTGCGGAAACACTTGTCGAATGTAATTGAGTTAACAGAAACATGGCGTTTAGCTTTTGCCATTGCTGCTCATACCTTTCTGAAACGCAAAAAAAGTTTGCGGCACTCTCCAGAATCTGTAAACCCTAAACACAGAATATGCATCAGGTATACCAATTCTTCAAACTGTAATGCTCTTTGCTGTCAGATTTAGAGAGAATCTTTGCATCTGCAATTTTCGGATGCTCTGATTTTGAGAGATTTTTTGAGGATCAACAGACATCAGTATACCACATGAACTTCGAACTGAATGCACATATGAACCCATGGCAAATTGGCAATGTCCCAAAGACAGCGTCCTGCGCCCCAAAGCGATGAGGTGATGCAGCAGCCCTTGTCTTTCAGAATTGTTGCCAAGACAATTCAACAAGTTACCTGAGAAAAGACACAAGACAAACGATCACACCAATCATTGCAAAGAGTGAATCATATCTGGAAAACAAGAGGCTTGTTGAGATGAACTGTGAACTCCTGGACAAGCCCCTTTCAGCGGGCTACTGGGCTGTTGGGCTGCATTGTTCCTCACGGGCCACGAGATTTGTTCCACGTCCAGGTCATCGGAAAAGGTCTAACTTTTAAAACCGTTCATTTTACCTCTGGATAATAAGCGGTTTTTAAAGGTAGTTTTATTTATTTATTTTGGTTGAGTATTAAAAAATCATAGTAAATCATAGAAAAATCATAAAATAGAAAATCCAAATTTGTTGGACTCCACATGTCTACATAGTGAACATATAATATGGTATGTTTTAGTATAATTTCTTTGCTATAGCTTTAGATATATGATTTTCTGTAATTAATTTATAGTTGCAGTTTGTATGGTCCAATTATGGTGAATTTTTTATGGTGGGATAAATCTATAAGTAAGTTGTTTATGATCCAATGAGTATTTTTACCATAATTCAAGCATATAACAATTAGCCCACTATAAAATTTTCATCATAATTGGACCATAAAAACTACAGCTATAAATTAATTATAGAAAAATAGCATAGATCTAAAGCTACAACAAAAAATATGTACTAAAACATATCATATTATATGTTCACTGTGTAGACCTGCTCATATGGAGTCTAACAAAATTTTATTTTTCATTTTATGGTTTACTATGATTTTTTTAAAAATAGCCGAAATAAATAAAAAAGAAAAAGATAAAACCATATTTGAAAACCGCTTATACTACCGGATAGGGAGGTAAAATGAACTGTTTTAAAAATTTAGGGAGGTGGTTTACCTGAATTTAAAGTTTAGTGAGGGAAAAGTCGTAAAAGTTGAGGAGGCAATGTGTATTTTTTTTTCATGCCCTTTGATGACGCTGGGGACGGAAAATCCATCCCCGTCCCCGACCACCATCGCACGCAGCAGCCACGCTTGGGCAGTCGGCCGCCTCGGCTTCTCTCAGTCCTCGACGGCCTCGTCGCCGTCGGTCGCCAATTCGCCATGCGCCTCGCTCACCCCGTCCTCAAGCTGCCGCCGCGGCCATGCTGCTCTACCACATTCTCCGCTACGGAAGCTGTCACGGATGTCTCCTCCGCGGACCGCTTGCTGGCGCTCCTGCGCGGCTGCGTCTCCGCGCCGCACCTCTCGCTGGGCCTCCAAATCCACGCTCGCGCCGTCGTGTCCGGCGCTCTCTCCAGCCACCCGGCGCTCCACACCCGGCTCCTCGGCATGTACGTCCTCGCGCGCCGGTTCCGCGACGCCGTGTCGGTGTTCTCCGCGCTCCCGCGCGCCGCCATCGCATCGTCGCTGCCGTGGAACTGGCTCATCCGTGGGTTCACTGCGGCGGGGCACCACCGCTTCGCCGTCCTCTTCTACGTCAAGATGTGGACCCACCCCGCCGCGCCGCGCCCCGATGCGCACACCCTCCCTTACGTCGTCAAGTCCTGTGCCGCGCTCGGAGCGGTGTCCCTCGGCCGCCTGGTCCACCGCACAGCGCGGGCGATCGGGATCGCCACCGATGTCTACGTTGGGAGCGCGCTCATCAAGATGTACTCTGACGCTGGCCTCCTCAGGGACGCCCGCGACGCGTTCGACGGAATGCCATGGCGGGATTGCGTCCTGTGGAACGTGATGATGGACGGGTACATAAAGGCTGGAGACGTGGGTGGGGCGGTGCATTTATTCCGGAACATGAGGGCGTCCGGTTGCGAGCCCAATTTTGCGACTCTGGCGTGCTTTCTCTCTGTGTGTGCTGCTGAGGCTGACTTGCTGTCTGGGGTGCAACTTCACTCTCTGGCGGTGAAATGTGGTTTAGAGCAGGAGGTCGCAGTGGCTAACACATTGCTATCGATGTATGCCAAATGCCGGTGCTTGGATGATGCATGGAGATTGTTTGAACTGTTGCCACGGGATGACTTGGTAACCTGGAACGGAATGATCTCAGGATGTGTTCAAAATGGGCTTCTTGATGAAGCATTGGGATTGTTCTGCGATATGCAGAGGAGTGCTGCTCGACCAGATTCAGTTACGCTAGTGAGTTTGCTACCGGCTTTGACCGACTTGAATGGTCTCAAGCAGGGTAAGGAGGTACATGGTTATATTATCAGGAATTGTGTGCACATGGATGCCTTTTTGGTGAGTGCTTTGGTGGACATCTATTTCAAGTGCAAGGATGTGAGGATGGCACAGAATGTGTATGATGCGGCTAGGGCTATCGATGTGGTTATTGGCAGTACGATGATATCAGGTTATGTTCTGAATGGGATGAGTGAAGAGGCACTGCAAATGTTCCGGTACTTGTTAGAACAGTGCATCGAACCAAATGCTGTTACTGTAGCTAGCGTCTTGCCAGCGTGTGCTGGTATGGCTGCTTTGCCTCTTGGTCAGGAGATCCATGGTTATGTTCTAAGAAATGCATATGAAGGAAAATGTTATGTGGAGAGTGCACTGATGGACATGTACGCAAAGTGTGGCAGACTTGACCTGAGCCATTATATCTTCTCCAAAATGTCTTTGAAGGATGAGGTGACATGGAACTCAATGATTTCAAGCTTTTCACAGAATGGAGAACCACAAGAAGCTCTAGACCTTTTCCGTCAGATGTGTATGGAAGGAATAAAGTACAATAATGTAACCATATCTTCTGCCCTATCAGCATGTGCAAGTTTGCCAGCTATATATTATGGGAAGGAGATTCATGGTGTTATCATAAAGGGTCCTATAAAGGCTGACATATTTTCTGAGAGTGCTCTGATAGACATGTATGCGAAATGTGGGAACATGGAGTTGGCTCTTCGTGTTTTTGAATTCATGCCTGATAAGAATGAAGTATCATGGAATAGTATAATTTCTGCCTATGGGGCTCATGGTCTTGTTAAAGAGTCACTGAGCTTCTTACATCGTATGCAGGAGGAAGGATATAAGCCAGATCATGTAACATTCCTTGCTTTGATATCTGCTTGTGCTCATGCAGGGCTGGTTGAAGAAGGACTCAAACTTTTTCAATGCATGACTAAGGAATATCTGATTGCACCACGAATGGAGCATTTTGCTTGCATGGTCGACCTATACAGTCGTTCTGGGAGGTTAGATAAAGCTATACAATTTATTGCTGATATGCCTTTCAAGCCAGATGCTGGCATTTGGGGTGCTCTTCTCCATGCTTGCCGTGTGCATCGCAATGTTGAACTTGCGGACATCGCTTCCCAAGAACTGTTCAAGTTGGACCCTGGTAATTCTGGTTATTATGTCCTCATGTCCAATATCAATGCAGTTGCTGGGCGATGGGATGGTGTATCAAAAGTTAGAAGATTGATGAAGGATAATAAGATCCTGAAGATACCTGGGTACAGCTGGGTAGATGTTAATAACAGCAGCCATTTATTTGTTGCATCAGATAAAAGCCACCCTGAGTCTGAAGATATCTACACGTCCTTGAAGGCCCTGCTTCAAGAACTAAGAGAGGAAGGCTATGTTCCCAGACCAGATCTATGTCACCCCATGCACCCAGATAACAACACACAGGTGGGATTTAAAAAGTACAAAAGATTGTTTGATGTTCTATGCACCTTAATTATTTGTTGAACGTAATGATATAAACTTCCTTGAATGAAGTGATACTATTTTACTAATCTAAAAGATCCTGTTCCTGCCTTGCTGCTGATCCATGCGCAAACTTAAATTTAATCAGACATGGGAATCATACATGCCATTGAGCCACTGACTGTAGGTAGTTGTTATAGTAAATATACAAAATGGCTGCATATGTTTTCCCTTCAAGTAATTTGTTATAGCAAATGATCAGAGTGGAAGCATCTTATGTTTTCCCTTCAACATAGGAATCATACATGCCACTGAGCCACTGACTGTAGGTAGTTGTTATAGTAAATATACAAAATGGCAGCATATGCTTTCCCTTCAAGTAATTTGTTATAGCAAATGATCAGAGTGGAAGCATCTTATGTTTTCCCTTCAAGTAGTATAAAAACTAGCTAAAGGGGAGTGTCATTCTGGTAGATATGGCACGTCTCCACTTGTAGTATGTGTTTTCTGTCGTGGAACAGCAAAGCCATTTTAGTTAGTCTACTTTGTTATGCTTTTGTGTAGTCTAGACTCTAGAATACTACTCCGTCGGTTAGATATATTTGTAAGACATATCTATGTATAACTGCAGCTGTCGTCTCCATTGTGACATTACGTTTAATCCTTGTATAATTATCTTGTTGAAGGTTATGGCAATATGATTTGTCCCAGTGGCACTGATATGCCCTTCTGATGGAAATTCGAGGAAGAACACATTGTTATACAGACCACTGCCTGTTGAAAAGCAGTATGTGTAATTGTGTATGCAGTTCGACATTTACATGAGAAAAAAAGTGGTGAGTATACTTGTTTGCAACTTCGTAATCACACTTTTTTCCCCAACTCTTTTATGTTATCTGATTAAGCAACATGTATACTGCGTCCTGTAGGGATATGCCTATTCTCAAGCATGAGAAACACACGGAAGACCAAGGGAAAATCTGTGTAAAGATATCGACATTTTTAGGGAGAAGCTTGACATATTCAGATGTCTTCCTGTGAGGCTGCAATTATGGTGTTGCTGCTTCAGTTGCAAAGTTACAAGAATGAACTGGTAACGTCGAAACAAAGGTAAGCTGTAAGCATGCACATTATTATTGAATTTGTAATACTGTGTTAGATGATTGGTTTTGGTACGCAAATCCACTACACGGAAATGAAATTGCTTCGAGTACATATATATCCAATATTTAAGCCGATGTTCTGATCCATAATCTGAATGAACCTGAACAATAGCAGTCTCACACTGAAGTTGCGCATTGTTATTTACAAGACACAGCAGGGTCACTTTATACAACACAAACTGTTGACGTTTCTTCAACTCTTGTATTTCCACAGAGAATTTGACTCATATGTCATCATCCAAAACTTTCAGCCCACTGGCAAGCCTCCGGCGCTGCATCTGTGCAAGACTTTGGGGATTCCTTATCGCGTCCAGCATCCTGTCGAGGAACTGAACGAACTGTTGGTGCTCATGAGCAACCTGGGGGTCTGAAAATCTGTAGAGATGCGGCTCATGTTCCTGCACGTTCGTTGCAAGCAGTGGGCATCAGAGAAGCTTTATTAGCAGAAACCAAGCATGAATTATCTGGACTCATTTATTCTTCAGAGGTATTTAACTCTATGGTTCTGGAACTGAACTTGAAACGGCAGGAAAGGGAACGAACCGTGATCCTGGTGTCTGTCTTGATTTCCCGCCCGTACGCGTTGCTGCAGACCGATCGATCCCCCACCGGTGGAAGAGGACATCGGAGCAGCCGCGGGCCACGGTGGGCGCCGGAAAGACGGCCGGCCGACTGGATCCTCCCGAGTAAGAGGCGCGCTGCCATGTTTGTTTGCCGAAGAGAGGTCGTGAGAGCTCACAGCTCAGAGGTTGCGTTGGTTCCCTCGCCTACCTTTCCCCTCCGCTAAGTATGCAGCAGCAGCATCAGATATGCTGAGGGAGTACGCGAAGCATCGCGTAGGCGCGGACGGCACGAAGCCGAGTCGGTCATGGGAAGCATCGGCGACCTCGTCTCCCGTCTTTCGGCCGTTTGGACAATTGGACTGGACCGGCCTCGTCGTACAGAGTTGAATTTGACATTTGAATCGACCGCAGCACGCACCGTACAGAGACTTGTATTCTAGAAGGTTTCTTTTTTCTGCCTGAACGTACGTGTCCCTTTCCTTTGCGTGGAGGAATGACTCGCTGACGTTTGGTCGACTCGTAGCTAGCGATCCGTATGATTATTTATTGTGAAAAATTGCTCAAATTATAAATGGATTGACTTACTCGTTTTAGAATAGAGGGTCTCAAACTTCCTATTTTGAAAATAAAAATCGAAAATAGGGGAAACAAATATGGCATAAAAAATAGGAGAAAAAAAAAACCGAGAGAAGCAAAGCAACTTCCGAAGGAGTACTAACTGTATCTCTAAACTTCAGTGCTAACATGTCATCAATGAAGAAAGTATACTTTTGTTAGTAAAAAAAGAAAAAAGACAAAACAAGTCGATGAGTGGCAGGCTGAAGCCGAGCGATTGATGGAATCAAGCATGATGATTTGAGTGGACGGTGGCTGGACAGTTGGGGCTTTGAGGGATGCAATAGAGCAGCAAACAGGGGAAAAGGTGGAGGTGAAGGGGCCCACAGATGATGAGAATGTGCAAGGAGAACCTAGTGACATTAGATCTATAGCCACACCAATTAGGGTGGCCTAACTTAGTTCCATGGATGTACCTTGTGGGTGTTTGGTTGGCTAGGCTCTAGTCATTCAAAAGCATCCCCACCCACCTACTTGTGACCCTAATCCAATCCTTGATGTCCATTTTCGTGTAGTGTCTTCAGATCCATGGTGGTTGTACCAATTTGTAACTTGAATTAGTGACTTGTTCCATTTTAGGCTTACATCCAAGATCTCCTCTAGTTGTTCCTCTTCGTGCTTATTGCTATGCTGCTACGGTAACCCCAAATAACCTCCCCTCCTTGTTATGTGGTCCTCTTGTCTGGTTTTTTCTTTGTGTGATTCTTCTTCGTATGGTGATTGACAATACGGTTTACGTTCTCATCCACAATAGTTAGTTCTATGTGGATCGCAAAGTGTCTCTGCTGATGATTATGTTATTATTCATTATAACTGGACAAGTGCCTCTGCCTTTTATGTCATTTATGTTTATAGAGCACTTTCCACTGCCTGTGATGGTAACAGCTGAGCTCATGCCACTGACTGTAATGTCATTACATTGTTTGAGCATATACTTTTGCCAAATATTTGTTAATAATCTAGTCTAAGTAGTTCCTGTATTTTTTTTCTTGATGTGTTTAGATGGTTTCAGGAAACAGTAGGAGTGCACTTACTTTGCATGCAACTACTGTGGTCGTGGCTATGTATGCATTCTTCTTTAGTAAAATTAGATTGGTTAATAACAAATGTCCTTGTACCACCTGTGCCCCTATGAGCACGGATGTAGAACGCCAAACATACATGGACAAAATCTACAACTACAATGATGTAGAATGTGTGTCAATATGTTACGTATGAGGAGAGCCCTTTTTTGAGCTATGCAATTTGTTAAGGGGCGGGAACTTGTAGCATACATAGCTTTGTTGAGGGGCAATAATTTTGCAATATATGTTTCTACATGTGGTGGGGCATACCTAGTGGTTTAGGGTGATCAACCAATCCTTTGTGAGATCCATAGAGACAATGAGTAGATACTTCAAGGAGGTATTGTTTGCTATTGGTGAACTTAGACAGGAGATGGTAAAAGCACCATCAAATGAGACATCATTTAAGATCAATACCAGATCTAGATGGTATTCATACTTTAAGGTGTAGATCAGCTGTACTTAAGTCAAATAGATAGATTTGTGTGCATGCTATGGGCCATAAAATGTTAATGTTCATCATATGGGCATCATGAAGGACTGTGTGGGTTCAATTGATGGTACCCATGTGCATTATAGCACTCAAAATGTGGTAGCTGTTGTTGATTTGGTACTAGGTTTGTGGTGCCATAAGAAATGGGCTACCCCTTGTTGAACTTGTTAAACTTATTTATGTTTTTTCCGCTGGCAGGATCATTTCTTATTTAGGGTGGGCTACATTTTCATTGTAGTGTGCATAAATATTTTCTTGACCTTACAAAATAACAAATTTATTTTCTTGACCTTACAAAATGACAAATCTATTGGTAGGAGATACAATGGCATTGCTTTTGTTCATGGAAACTCCTAGATATATCATTAGCAGTGACTATCTATTGATTTTTCTTATTAGCTCTACGATACCAGTACATTTCTTGTCATATATTGCCAATTTATGTCTGGTCGCTTGGCTAAGGAATTGACTATAAACAAAAAGAGTTTCTAAACAAAAATCGATGTGAACTATTTTACTATACTTCATTTCCATAATTCCCACATCACATGTGCATAGTAAATAATTTAGTGGTGATGCTTAACACTACAACCTACCATGAGCAACCCCCAAAAGTCAGTAATCCTGGTAAGTTCAACCTTAATGAAGGAATAAAAGGTAATGCTTTCATGTTCTTAACTATTACGAGTACGAGATCTGAGGTTTAACGAAAGACAACATAAAGAACCAAGCAATTTTGAAATATTTTCTCAAGAAAACAAAGTGCATAGAGTTTACCAATCTGAGCTACAGAGATATCTACAATAATGTTTCACCAAACATTTCCCAGCTTAACCTGTCATTGGGAAGATTTATTATTGGGAAAACAATTGTAACTACCCAGCATTCCATTTTTTTTGGTATCCCAATTGCCTAATAAGGTTATAGTACAAACTAATTATATCTAAAGGAAAACATTTATCGCTTGGATCTCATAGCAACAAACAAGTTTTTTTTACCAGGTATAGCAACAAATAAGTTGGTTCACGATTTTCAAGTGAAGCACCTTCAAAGTTCTCAAGTATCATACTGTTGAGCATAGACAATGCTACATTTTTAGTTGTATAGCATTTTTAGTTGTATAGAATCCAATAGTAGAAGCACCTAGCTCAACGACAAATTGGGAATAAAAATCAATTGTATGCAAGTATCTAGCTTTTACAATCAAGCTCTGCTCTGCCCAAGATTCTACTATTAGCAGTGTTGCAGAGCATGATCGTCCAGAAAAGAAATGACAGTATGATACTACTTAGCCATATACAATTGTTTTCTTATATCAAGATGTGGTTGAGCTATACAACTAGATTGTGTACAACTGAAAAAGTAGCATTGTATGTGTTCAGCAACATGATACTTGAGAACTATGAAGGTGCTTCACTTATAAATTGGGGACCAACTTGTTTGTTGCTATCAAATGATGGATGTTTTCCTTTACATATAGTTAGTTTGTGAAAAAGCAAGGCAGTTACTGTTCTTTTCCCAATGACAAGTCTTCATGTCAGGTCAAGCTGGTGAAATGCCTGATACAAAAGGTTGTTGTAGGTATCTCAGTTAGTCAGATTCGTGGATTATGTACACTTCATTTTCTTGAGAAGACAATATTTCGTAGTTGCTTGATTCTTTCTATTGTATCTCCTTAGACCCCAGATCCAGTACCAATAATAGTTGATAAAAAACATTTTGCTTTGTGCTTGAAGTTGGACTTATGATGATTACTGCTTTTTTAGAGTTGCTTATGGCAGGCTACAAGCATAACCACTAAATTCATTTACTATGCACATGTACTGAGGTGAGAATTGTGGAAATAAAGAATAACAAAATAGTTCTCATCACTTTTTGTTTAGAAACTCATATTGTTTATGTTCAGTTTCTTGGCCAAGCAACCAAACATAAATTGGCAATATATGAAAAGAAATGTATTGGTGTTGTATCTCGTGCCACTGACAATAATACAAAAATGGATAAATATAAAAAAATTGTTGCAGAGAGTAGAAAGAAAATTTGTCATTTTGTAAGGTCAAGAAAACATTTAGACACAAAAGTACAATGGAAATCCAAAGGAAAAACATAAATACCTTCAGTGCCATGTATTTAAGCCAGTGGCTTGGTATGTAATATGTTCTCAAAGAGATGAACTCCTGAAACCCTAGTAGAGCAGTTGTAGCTGTAGTTCTGCCTCACATTCATCGAGTCTGGTGAACTGAATACTAGTACAAAAGATTATGCCGAGATATGGACTTCAACTGTTGTCGACAGAATTGTCAGGTGGTGAACAAAAATACTAATTGTACATGATTAACTCATGGCATTTTGCAGCCAACTGGTAGTAGACTCTTGTTCCGAAGCATGGAGGAAAGCACATCAATCTGCAGAGCAACTCAAAAGGTTTTGCTGCTACTGTATCACGGAAGATTTCACGTCCAGGACCTGCACTTCCCCCTTCGATGCAATGACGGCATATGATCTGCAGGGCAGCAGGTTGCAGTGTAAAAACAACTGAAACTTTTTTCCTAGAGGTTATGTGTGCTCAGAGTCAGAGATTTACTGGTTGCTGCAAATGATCCCATGATCCACAACACCATCAATTTTGTCCAACTTCTCTGCTACCTGACCTGTAAGCAAGATGGCAGAGTAACCATGGTTAACGGATTGAAGCTGAGTTTAGATCTGCAGTTGCGAGGATGGAAGATCTTCCATCCACATACGGCATACCAAGATCTGGGATTGGAGTTGTGAAGATAACATCGAGTACGTGATGGCCCTCCTTGGTAACCAATGGGTGGTCACCCCCTAGTGGACCGGCAGTTCCAAACGACGGCCTCCTCCAAACCTTCATCATAAGAAAAACACATTGCACTTGTGATCAGAACAGATGCATAATTCAGGTTCATAAATCCAGCAACTTCTCCACTTCTGAAATTTCCAACAGGGTGTATAGTATTAGCTTCGATGGGCACACCTCTGCATCTCCTAGAAACAAATCGTCGATCTCTTCGGCGGTGTCTATCCAGTTTCCCTGAAATGACCTGCTCCTCTCTTTATGAACAGAACATTGAATGAAACAATATGTGCTGAAGCAACGGATGACTGCTTACACTTTTAACCAGGACCGGGATGGAACCCTCGACGCTCGTCACATATTTGTCATTTCCAGTGATGAAGGCAAGCTTGTCAGCTGACTTAGCCATTGCCTGTATATATTACATAGGCGAGGAAAACAGGATTGCATCAAGGTAGTTCAGAGATGATTGCACAGAGTATGTATGTATGTATATCATGCTTAATGAGAAAGAAAGTGCCCAGTCATTGTGGCTGGCTAAGTGCGTAAGACTCACTCATGTGCTTACTTGTGTCTGTCATTAAAGGGATCTGTTCTGATCTGCTTACCTTCTCCAACATGAAAGAGGGCTCTCCGCTCTCGGTCTTTAGCCGCCCAATGACCGCAGCCAGGGTGCCCTCTTCGATTGCTTCAGCATCAGTGAAAGCAAAATCAATCTAATATAGGTCAGTGAGCACCGTTTCAGAGGCTGTTCTTCTTGAGTAGCAAGAACTAACAGGATGTTTGTTCATAATTGACGGTTACAGTGTCAGCACCGCGCATACATACTACTAACCTGGGTGCCTTCTTGGTAGCTGTTAGCCCGTATTCCTGCCTTGTCTGCCTCGCTCTCACTGAGCACGGACCTGGCTGGTCAATCCCAGGAAGATGATTAGAACAGATTACACTCACTGCACTGATTCGATGCCGTAGGTGTAGCAACGAGGCCTCACGAGCAACCAGGACTCACGAGGTGACTGCGGTGATGCCGGTGAGAGATCCCCGGCGAAGGCGCGTGCCGAGGTAATGGATGGCCAGGGCGGACGCCGGGCCGGAGCCTAGCCCGACCACCATGCCGCTCGCCACGAACTTGTCCACCTGGAGAGAAGAAGAAACTCGTTAGGAAACATACACAGGCACGGCGGCTACGGCTACTAACGAGCGGTGCGGTGGGGTGGGGTCCCGCTTACCGTGAGCTTAGCGGCGTCGAAGAGGTCGACCACGTCGGCGTCGGCCGCCGAGGACGAGCAAGCAACTCGCCGTCGGACGGACGGTGGGCAGCGGTTGCGGCGCTGCCTCGGGCACGGGCGGAGCTGCAACGAGGGAGCTACACTTGGCCTGGCCATGACCTCCATGGATGAAGGAATCGAGAAGTTCGGCTGTCCTGCAGGGCGGTCACCGGCACGGCTAGGAACAAAGACATGGTAGGGCCCCAGCGGGGATAAGGGAGTGGTGCAGGTGAAGGCTAGCCCTGCCTCCAGAGGTTGCACCTCATCTGCTTCACTTCACCAGCCACCGCCACTGGTTCACTGAAGGTGCTTAACTTCACCAGTCACCGCTACAGGTTCACTGAAGGCGTCAATGATTTCAAGAGCCACCGCCACTAAACTGTCAATTTCTCCATTTCAATCACTTCAAAGACACAAATGGCAATTTCAAAAATTACAAATGCTGACAACACAAAAAGAAAACAGCACAAGTTCATTTACTACAAAGACGTTGCGTCCTGTGCGCTTACTTATCTGCTGTGTTTTTCTCTCACAACGAAACCACATCAGCTAGCTTATCAGCCAACAAAAACCATAAGCCAAACAGCATCCAAATAAATAAATTTTACCAAACACTACAACACTAATAAATTTTACCAAACACTACTACACTACACTATTCAATAACCGGCAAAAGAGCAATGCACAGGAGGAAAGATCTCTGCACATGTGAAAAGCTTTCAATCAACAAGACTTGAGCAACAGGGCTACGCTAATATACGAGTGCAGGAATCTCAATATTCGAGTGCCAGGGATTTCATTAACTGCATTAACATAAGTCACAGAGCAACATATGATTATCCTCACATTACAATAAACCGAGTCTCAGACCATGGCCAGACTCTTAAACGAGCTAGTAGAATGAACCAAGACCAAGGATGGTTTACATCGCCTACATCTACAGCAAAACAGCCATGGCGCAGGTGAAGCTCCCCTTCCTCAGCCCAAGATGCGACAGCAAAACAGCCATGGCGCAGGTGAAGCTCCCCTTCCTCAGCCCCAAGATGCGCCTACTTTGATCTCTGCCTCATCTTTCGGCGCTTCCTCTTGAGCCTCCTCATTCTCTTCTTCTTCCACTGCACATCAAATGGGACACGATGAATCAGTTCACCCACATTGTAAAATGATTATATTTTAACAGAAAAAAGTCTCATCTGAAATAAAATATTAAACTGAACAAGACCAGACTAAAGACTATGCAATTTGTCAGGGATCAGAATTATGGTGTATTACTCATCACTGATGATCAGAAACACGGACCAATGGTTCTTCATCACATCCCAACATCGTAAAGACCAAACAGTTAACTTGCAGCAATAGAGTGTTGATCATCACATGAACTAGTCTATGCCTCTTGAACGAATGAATTTGCAAGAACCATTCAACTAGAAATAGTATGTAATCAGCGCATAATCTCAGTCCTTTTTTAGGGAAATCTCAGTCTGTCTTATACAACCAAGACTTTGTGTAACCAGCAAATAAACAGTAGGATAATAGAAGTAACATGCAGTGAAATGGCATTCAGAATGAGTAGGAGGTATTTCTCATCAATTAGATCAGACAAATCTAGTTAGTTTTTCCTCATTATGCCAGTACTGCAGAAAGAACCGCTAAAAAATAATCTAAAACCTGTAACAGAGCAGCAGCGAAAACGAAAATTTTCAACAGACTAGTGTTCTCTCAGACAAATGCCTCGACTGTCCCCATGGTTTAATGGAATGGATTAGATCGGACTCGTCATCTGTGTTTGGTCATCATAGAGAACATCATAACGTCACCAAGACTCTAGCAAGCACGAATGCCACAGCACACAGCCAAACCCTAAACATTGCTAGCTCTGCAAAACTACCTAGGACACGATTTCATCTCATCAGTATGGAATGAACATCACAACGAAGGAGAGGGAAGTGAAGACAAACCTTGGCCCTCATCGCGTCGGCGGGGGGCGGAGCGCGCGCACGAGCTCCCTCTGTCTCTGCTTGCGGCGGCCTGGGGAACTGGCGAGTTGGGGACGGACCGGATGGTGGCGGCGGCTCCTCTCGCTTCCGATTTATAGAGACAGGGGTCCTGGGTGGAAGCGAAAACCCTAGCCTTGATGCCCTCGTGGACGGCTGAGATCTGCCGATGCGTGGAGTTTGGAACGGAGGATTAGGGCTTCGTTCGTGGGCTCCGTATCCGAATAGCCGGAGTATCGGGCCAAATGGGCCTTATCTGAGTCAGGGCTCAATATGATGCAATACGTGCCGTTTGCCTTTCTTTTTTTATTTGTTTCCCAGCCACAAAATCCACTGCTGAAGTTTCAAAAAACAGAAGAAAAGAACACTGCTGAGACTGAGCTTCGCAAATTTCCATTGATCAGTGATTAACTTATGTACCATCTTGGAACATACAAGATCCGTATATGTATGTTGACTGTAACAGCACAGTAACTATTTGTAGCGGTAAAAGCATGGCAGGTGCGGTTCTCTTCAATTCAATTCAAACAAAACATTATACCAAACGTAAAAGCTTGTGCGCATTTCCCATGTGTTTGAGCAACAAACACATACGATTACGAGTTCATGCTTCAAACTACGTACATGATATCAATCACGATTACGAGTAGTAGTAATAAAAACTGAAGACGGAATGGTGAGCTCTAGTAGCAGCGTCGCAGCGTAAGCAAGCAGCAAGCCTTGGTCAGTTGACGCCACCTCCGCTCGCGTTGGGGTCGTTGTTGGCGTTCGTGCTCGCGGCCTCTGCGGCAGGAGGCGCTGGCTGCGACGGGGCGGGAGGCGCGGGCGCGGCCCAGCCGCCGATGGGGTGGAACGGCATGCCGGGCAGCGGGAGCCCCGGGATGGCGGGCATGCCGCCGGGGTTCGGGAACAGCGGGAACGACGGCATGGTCGACGGCGGCAGCCACCACTTCATGCTGCGGCTGCCGGCGGCGGTCGCGGCGTTCCGGGCCCTCACAGTCACAGGCTCCGTGGCGGGCCCCGCGGCCGCGGCGTACGGGTACGGCGCCGCGCTGCCGAGCTCCGGCTCGAACTCCACGTGGCTGATCTCGTTCTCGCTCTCGTGGTCATCGCCCAGGGATGGGTCCAGCGGCTCGGTCTCGGCCCCCGCCGTGGCCGCCTTGGAGCCGAAGGAGAACTCCAGGCCGCCGTTGGCGTCGTTCAGAAGGCGCATGCCGTGGCCCCGGCTGGCGCAGAGCGTGGCGATGGCGAGGAGGCCGACGAGTAGGAGGGACGACGGCTTCTGCTCCATGGCTGCTTCTTGATGGCTTTCTTTGCTTTCGCCGGTGAAATGGTTGGTGATGAGACGCATGAGCGAGCAATGCGAGTTTTTATAGCATGGCTGGAGAGCAGTTTGGTTGGATCGTGGTGACCTGCATTCCGATTTACTGAATGATCTCGTAGTTTTGACTGCTCCTGCACGCCGGACGCGTGCAACATCTATATCACCTAAGTTTAAACTACTTGGTTTAGCACTTAGAATTCATAATCAACGCAGATCAACTCTGTGGAGTCCGGAGATTTAAATTCGCTCATGCTTAATGTCTTCTGTCATCCCAACCTGTCAATGCATCTTAATTCACAATTTCCTCTACTGGGTATTTCCATTTTTCAGACAACGTGGCAGTTCAGTTTGTACAGTCATCATGTAGTTGTTGAAGGTCACAGCAGCAAGGTTTTAACTCTGTGAAAGTGTAAATTTATGGAATTGCAAAACAATGAATATGAGTCATATAAATATGCCAGAACTTATCCTTGCAGATTGAGCATGAAATGGCAGACTCTTTAGAAACAGAGGATAAGTAGGCTCTCGGAAACTTTCAGTTTTCAGAAACGAATTATGGGCACACTTCATTACTTGAGCAGTGCGGTGTCAATATCCCACAAGGCCACAAGTGATAGGATCAGAAATTTAAGAGTCGAAGAACTTGAATAGTGGACAACATGCATTGCAGCTTAATAGCTTTAAACCCGGTGGGCAATGAACTAGCACCCATGTTCAGAATGGCACACAGCTTAAGTAACAATTGACGCAAGTCTGCGATGCACAAGAGGGCACAACATCAGTTCACCAACCCATTCAATTCATTCATGAGAAACCAGCTGCTAAATTACTCGTTCTTCTTAGCCTTCATGTTCCCCTTGGGAATCTTGCTCAAGACGCCTTGGTCAAGCTTCTGATACTGATCTCGCAACAGACCAAGAAGGCTGTAGAGGAAATCATCGACTTGGTCTTCGTACTTCTCATAGAGCACAGGAAGTGTGTGAACACAAACAAACCCTGTTCCAAGTAATCCAACAACTTTGTCAGTACTACCGCATATGCTGAAATGTGTGCTTTCATTAAATAGGAATAGGGTATTGTTTCTCTGTGGCAATTGCCGAAAATGTGAAATCGTGGCTGACAAGAATGGAAATTACAGGCCTCTCACCGATATATATGACTGTCAGGAAATTGCACCAACTTCCAATCACTGCAGCAGCCCACAGTCCGGCAATCGCCTGAAAGAAAACATAGCACCACAATTAAAATGTCTGTCTAAGACAGACAGATAGAATAGGAATGCTTATAAATGGCATTCAACAATATCAGAAATGTGTCAATCATATCTATTTGAATAGATAAACCTAGAAAAGTTTCACTTACCACTGCAAAATGCTTCAAGTTTCTTTCACAAGACACATCCTGAAGGAAGCACAGGAACTTGTTAATTTGGGCACCGATTGCAACGGCAATGTTCACAAATAACTCATCAGGCAATTCAACTCGGGGCACCTGAGAAGGAGATCTAGACGTAGAAAAATATTTCAAATTATTGTGTCAGCGGAGATACTGCTCAAATGCTTTACATATTCCATACCCGCTTAGCATGTTTGAGAAGTTGGACCAGACAAACTGGACAACCATTCCAAGAATAAGGGCAAAAGAAACAATTGTCAGAAAGTGGTAGTCAAGCCACTCAAAGAAAACCCAAATAGCTGTTGCAAGAACCAGAACACTCGATGATATCTTCTTGTTCCTCCATAACAGCACATCAGCAGCTACAATCACAGATAGAACACATCAGTAACGCCCACCAAGCAAATTTCAACATACTCCTTATATACCAATAAGCAGACCACATACGTTTTCCACCACCCAGAACTCCATGCAAGGTCCTCTGACGACCAAACAGCTTGTTCTTCACTTTGTCAGAGACTGAACCTAGATCAAAATGCCCAGACTTCTGCTTAGGAAGGTTGTCAGCAATGGTATCCATGATGCTGCTCATAATCTTTTCAGTTGCACTCTCAGAACGTTCCGACATCCTGTGTATATTTTAAGCTCACTGGAAAGTATGAAGGTAAGTCAGACAATATGGTCCATCATATCCTAAACATGGAAAAACAGAGAGAACTAACAGAATACAGCCATAAGGAGTTTAGGGGCACATGAGAAGAAAGGCCAGTGGAACAGGATCAAACATATGAATTTAAGAAAATGCTAGACCAACAGAAAGAATTAAATGGAACTAGATATTAAGACATTTTCTACTAGTAGCCCCAGTTCCTAAAATCGATTGACTGAAATAGTTGCACACCTTCCTGAATCTTAACAATAACATAATACACCTGGATTATCTAGTGAAGCTGTGAAGCACATAATTTAGCAAAACTTTCTGTTGAATGCAGTTGCTGCAATATACGTTTAAAATATGCTACAAGCCAGTTACAGTCTCAAATCCAATCTCCAACAAGGAAAAAAAAAAAGAATCTTGGACAGGACGACAGTAACATTTCCAGTAGATAAGCATTAACCGAAACAGCGCCCTTCAATCATCAGAGCACTTAAAGACCAACACTGACCGATTTGGCGGTTCCTCACCAAAGAAAGCAGGCAAGATAATGTATTTCTCCAGCCAGGAGAGAATCAGGCCGAGAACTCCTCGGTGAGCTCTCCATCTCTTTGCTTCATAAATAAAACCCCAAGATTCATCGCACCATGCCCAAAACCACCTAAATGCCTCCCAAAGAAAAACAAGGAGATGCAAAAATTCCACAGAAGGAAACAAACCCAAACTCAGGGCCCCAACCCCCAACTCCATCTTTCACTGGAAAAAGAAGCAGGTAAAGAGAAAATCCCTTCAGATTCCACATCGCCGCTTGAACTACCAAGCCAGAGACTGTACCGGGGAAAGGAGCAGCGACGACACGAACAGGCGGAGATAAGGCCGGCACTCTGGAGTCCCGAGACGATCGCGAGAAGCAGGCAGCGAGCAGCCGAGCACGAGCAGCGTGGATGAAATGAAAAAGGGGCTGGTTGTGGTTGGTGGCTTTGGCCGCTTGGGGAGAGAAGAAATCGTACTAGCAAGTAGCAATTGATTCTCAACTCGACAACTCCGGGAGGAGGAAGGACGGGGCCGGAGCGGCCGGGCGGGTCGTGTGAATGCGTTCGACTGGTGGGTCACTGGCATGCGGGCCCATCCTGCGACCCGACCCTTGAAGTTCCCAATCCCACCAGGCCACCACCAATGTGGCCGTTGCGCCGCCGTAGGTCTGCCACTGCCACTATGGGCCCCCGGACAAGGGAACTGCTATGCGTACCCGCTCGTTGTTTCGTACTAGTCGCTTGCGGGTGGGTCCACAGGGGAGTATGATCGTGGGGGGCCCGCTGGTAATGGAGTATCTACGTCATCCGGAGAGAACATAATAGTGTGCGTATAAAGCACGAGGGAAGCGTGGTCCACCAGAGATATTTCCCATCTTTATCACTTGTCAGCGTCTCGTGATTTACAGATCGGCCAAGCCAAGTTATTTGCAATAATAATAATAATAATAATAATAATAATAATAATAGAATGTAAGTTGACTAAATGTTGAAGGTGAGAGACAGAAGAAGCTAGCTATAAGTTAACATTCGGCTTAGACACAAGAATCAAGAAACTTTGTGAGAGAGACATGTGAGCCATATATTAATAGTTAAGACCTTACTATTATATGGGTGGGTTGGGAGAAGGCAAAAATATTCGCTTTGTTCGTTTAGGCTTGTTTGGCTGATAAGCCATGGCTGAAAGTACTGTTGACTCATTTGGTGTGAGAAAAATATTGTTCGTTAACTGAAAAAGTATGATTTATAAGGCAAATAAGCCCAACAAACATAACGCTTATACCCAGCAGCCAGATTGTAACTATTAGCGTTCCTCTCAAAGTTGATTCGCAAACTGCATATAAAAAAGTTCATGCGGACTACTGTATTAAGGAGCATGTAGTCTGTTCGTTTCGGCTGAATTGGCTTATAAGCCATGACTGAAAGTACTGCTGGCTGGTTTGATGTGAGAGAAAAACATTGTTCCAGCCTCGTAGATTATAAGTAAGATACGAGTGAATAAGCCGAAACGAAAGTGCCGATGAACTGTGAACTTGTTTGAAAGCTGCCTTATCATAGAAAAGATCATACTCGAAGTTCATGCTCTCTGTGTTTCTGCATCTTTTTCATCGGCTCGCTGCGTTCTCTATGAATGAAAAAGTAGCGCCGATTCATTCGGTCATGCTCATGCTCCGACAACATCGTAGGATGTGGCATACCTTCTTGGAGGCGTCGTGTTGGGAGAGGGATACTGGTGTTTTGCTCGGTAGTAGCTCGCTGGCACGTGGGTAACCCGTATGCGCCGGCGATACTTGGCATGATGTACTCTTCCGTATCCCTACCCGCTAGATGGGCAGGAGGTCTGAGTGTTCTTGGATGCTAGATGGAGAGGACATCTTAGATGAAAAAAGTTGAGGTGCATGCCGCAGCTTTTCCTCGTTGAGCAACTGAGTTGGAGCAAGATGCGTGTTATCTTCATTAGAATGTAGGCGTTTGAAGACGTATGAGGTGGAGAGTTGCTCCTACACAAGATCAAGACAGGTTGAAAGTAAGGACAAAGAATAAGTTATGAAGCGTAGTCTTTTAGCTTTTTTTAGTCCTTAAGCTGTCTTTTTGTTGTTGTTTTATGCTCCTCAGTTTTGAGGCCTAGAGCCTAAGAGCTCACGTAACTGTTGGTTGTATATATCTCAAGTGAAAGGTTGGAATATATATCCTTTATCTAAAAATACTCGAAATTTAAATAATCCTTTCATTTATGGGTTAGGCTAGTATATTATGGATAAAGGCAAAATAGTCATTTTGATCCCTTAACTATGATCTGTTGCCCAGTTTTGCTAGGTATGCAAGGGCCAAGTTTTTTTTTGACGCCTCTCATCTGGATACAGCTGTAGCATCTATTCATGTACAGACTCACACCAACCCCACACACGCACACCACACTCACACCACGCGTACACAAACAAACCTACAACTACACCCAGATCACAAGATCATGTCCTTTGTGAGATCACCGGGTCCAACCATGACTCCGTAGGCGACGGGCGCATCACATTCCCTCTGTGGCTCCACGCGTGAGAGGCAATTAAATTTATTGGGGGCAAACCCCGGTGAGAGACCGGAAATTCGCAGCCACGGGGGCTCGAACTCCGGCCGGCAAGGTCCCAACAACCGGGCCTTGCCACACCCGAGCTACGCTCGGTTCTCTGCAAGGGCCAAGTTGTGAGCCCACAAATAGACTTATGGTTTGTGAGTTTTAAATTATGTCTATTGGCATTGTGTGCTTACACAAGCCCGCTTGCATCCCTAAGTTTTGTTCATAAACTTTTAAAATAGTTATTTCAGTTCTTAAATTTTATTTTGTGGTGAGGCGCTCAGTTTCATTTTAGACTATCAAACGACTATTTTAGTCCTCAAACGTTGCATTTTGATCTTAGTTTTATTCTTGAACTATCAAAATAACTATTTTGCCTTGGACCAATGGTTATACGTAATATAATTTTATTGTACTAGCTAAGACTAGATGTTTATTTGTAATGTGATCGTGTTCTCATATATCTTTAATTGTTTTGGTTCTAAAGTGAGTTTAGAACATTACATAGGAAAGGATAAGTTAAGAAAAAAATAAATCGTTAATCCAGTAATAATGAATATGAGGATACATCAGACAAAAAATGCTAATTATAAGAATACAAAATTTTGGCCGAATAGGGCAGGAAGCCCGGTTAGGCTCAATCAAGAGGGGGCTTGACTAGGCTTAGTCAAAATCAAACAAGCCCGGGTTTTAAGTTGTAGTATTCGTCTTTTTGAGTTACTCTAAGAAATTTGAAGGCACAGTAGGATTCATTTCTAAGTTGTGTTTTCTTAGTTATGGCAATGAGGTGGTATTAAAGTTGCGCATGTCCGTTGACCTTGACCATGGCCGCCGCTTGAGCCGTGGCGACGTGGCCAAGTATTATTTTATTATGTTACAACGCATAGCCATGATCCTAACGATACTTTAATTCATACTCAGTGGCTGTAATGACACTCAGAAAATAAATGTCGTGGTTACTCCAACATATATAAAGTGTTGCAAATGTTTTTTTAAAGCCGTTAAGCTTGTGCAAAGATATACTACTACCTAAACGCAATAAAGTGTCAAAAAGGTTTTCTTAACCGCAAACCGAGTTATTTGAGCTAGAAAAAGCAAACCATGTTAGTGGCTAGCCAAAAATACTCAAAGATTCAGCGCATGAATGCACACAGCTAGCACTGCCTAGCAGTAAAAAAAAATGCAAAAACTAACGAACTTGAATGCACAGGGCTAGCACTGATTAGCAGACAAACAAAACAACTTGCAAAATAAATTAACAAAACTAACTGGAGATGCGGGGTATCGATCCCCGTACCTCTCGCATGCTAAGCGAGCGCTCTACCATCTGAGCTACATCCCCTTTGTTTCAGTTTGTTCCTTTTGACTATATTTGATATATACATTAAAGTTGTACAAATACGGCACTTTCAAAGCGCTGCAACCTGCACGAGTGCACCCGCGCAGCCAAAGGATTGGCACGAGTCGATGCGCTCGAAGCGCCATATAGGGTGTGTTTAGTTTGCGGTTTGAATGATCGGACTTCACTAGCCAACAAAACCGTGTAGCTAATGTCTGACTTGTGTAATGCAGTATGCACTTATTTGTAACCTATGTTAGATATGGCATGTTTGGTTACCTACTTTGTCTTGATAATATAGAATCACCTCATCTTTATATGATAAGTTTGCCTTTTGAGACTTTCTGTCGAACCAACATGCTCCTCTGTTTCCTTGTTGGCGCGCACCTCCGCCACGCGTCTACATCCACACCAAAGCTAGAGGAATCATTTGAGCACGGGGATGGTGTAGCATGGGTGCAACAACGGCACGACAAGCATGGCGGTGACAACGTCGTGGGAAGAGGGGGGAGCAAGGCGCTGAGGACCGAGCACCCGCCTTCGCCACCACACTACTACCTAGAGATGCAATGACATGTTTCCGATCGGATTCGCACCAATCCAACGGTGGCTTGAAGCGTGATCGATTCCTCGCGTTGTGCGTCCGACGGTGGTCAAATAAGTTCCTCAAGACCGGTGGAGTGGATGACCGACATTGCCGAGCCGCCCAAGGACCGTCCCCCGTCTACTTACTCCAAAGCGTCGGGCCACCGACAAGAGCACCTAGAGGTGACAGGAGTGTGTACCATGCTCTAGTCAAACCAGGCTTGCGAAGAATAAGCTCGCCTAGCTAGTGTTTTCAGAAAGCCAGATCAAGACGTGATCGTTGCATTAGTTAGATCTGGTTACGATAAGGACAAACAACAAAAAGACCAATTCCTAAACTAAAGCCTGGATAGAAGGCTGGCAACCCAACCAAACACACGCTCGGTACTTGTCGGGCTCACAAACCCGGGTCTCTCAGGGACCGGCTTCCACGCCAGGGCTCGGCCCAAGAAAACAACGTGTTGTTCATGGGCCGGCCTTAAGGTCTAAGAATCTGACGGGCGGAAGGGACAGTCCGTCGCCCGGCGAGGAAGTGCGCCCGAAGAACGAACGCCCGCTCATCAACTTCTTCGCCCACCTCCGATTGGGCGCTTCGCTTGAGCACCAGCCGCCTCCAGCGGTCTCTCTCCGATCGGAAGGCTGGCCCAAAATGCTACTTCCTACTCCGACCCGCGACTCGACCGGGACCCACATAAGCTTCGTACGCTCTTCTCCGATTAAGCGCGGCCAGGCCGACCGAGCCAGCCATCCGACCGGGGGCGCTTCGCTCGGAAGGACCAGGCGAACGGAGAAGGCGGCGCACTAAAGTCAAACCACGATACTGGGAACCATATCCTCAGACGCTGCGGAAACAAAGGCTCCACGACCGCCTCGACACACAAGCGATGATTGTAGGCACCGACATTTGTGTCTCACAGATTGGCGGCGCCGTTGGGCTCCCATACGGCAAAAGGCCCCCATGCCTCCTGGGCATCGATAGAAGCGCTAAGATCCACCATACCTGGTACACGTGGTGGGGCTCCCCACACACCAGCAGTATTTTGCAGGTACCGATGTCCACCCTTCCTGAAGAAGCCACCGCAACCTCCCACGTGCACCTGACATTTTACAGCAACATCAACAGTGTTGTGGATGCCTACCATTATCCACTCCTAATCAGCGTGGGCATCAAGACTTCGTAATATCCGTACTCTCTCTCTCTCACCTATAAAGCCATCCCCTTCTTCTATAAAAGGAGACGCGCTCCCTCCAACAGGAGGAGGTCCACTTCTGTAAGTTCAGGCTCACTAGATCGATAGCTCAAAAACCCCTCAAGCACACGCTTGAACACCTAGCTCATAGCGGAGTTCCGGTCGCCCTCGGCCCTTCCGGTCGGACCCGACCGGGCCTCTCGCACACCCCTCATTCCTCCATGTCGTTTGTAACCCTACTACAGACTTCGAGCAACTGGGCTCAGGAATAAAGTCACCGACCGACCCACACTGGACGTAGGGCACGTTGTCTGAACCAGTATATATCCTGTGTCATTGAGTGCTACGCCACCTCCGATCACAACGTACAGCAAAACTACAAATATTCACTAGTTGGTCACTTTCTGTATCGACAGTACTCATTCCGGACCAGCATGCAAAGGCAACCCAACACACTGTGACGTGGTCCAAGGAAATCTTCACGGAGGCTATCCGGCCGCACAGGACAAGGCTGGAGTCCCCAATGCAATGGGCAATGGCCATTCGAATTCGATCTCCATCCACGGGCACGACCACCCGGCCTCACAGAGACAGAGCCACAGAGGGCACTGACAGCCCCGGCGCCACGTACAGACCACCCCGTCGTCCCAGACGGATGGACATGGACGCGCGCTGTGCCCTGCGCGCGGCTATACCCTCTCTGGCCGTAGCCGATCGAAAAGAGACGGCCGGACAACAAAAACTAAAGGTGAGCGCTGCCTGAGAGTTGAAACTAGAAAGAGCTAGAGAGCACGGCCGAAAAAGACGCATTGTGAGCAGTGGCTGCAAATTGAAGCTCGCCGTACATATGTACATGCGGCTGTCTCTCGTTCACCAGTCCATGGATCCCGTAACGACAAACCCGGCCCATGCCGGCGTCGGGTGGCTAGAAACCAACGCTACTGCTGGGTGGTGCGTGGCGCGTCACACGGCCACGGCGTGCTGCTATAAATTGCCATGCACGGCTCCCTCTCCTTACAGCAGCGCAGACAAGCTAGCTAGTGGTTGTTATTACAGCAGCACAGCAGCCACCAGCAGAGCTCGCTCTCCGGCATGGCCTCCACCTCGAGCCGCTTCCTGGCCGTGGCGCTCGTCATGGCCGCCGTGCTCCTCAGCGGCGCCAACACGTGCCACGCGACCCGCCGCCTCGACGAGCTGCCGCTGCCTCAAGTGCCAGGTGTGCCAAAGCTGCCGATGCCTGAAGTGCCGAATCTGCCAGTGCCGGTGGTGCCCAAGCTGCCGATGCCTGAAGTGCCGAAGCTTCCAGTGCCGCCGGTGCCCGAAGTGCCGACGGTGCCCCAACTGCCTGGCGTGCCCGGCGTGCCGCTGCCTTCCGCCGCGGTGCCATAGGTGTCGCTTCGGTTGATGCTGTCCCGTTCCCGGCGTGGACGAGCCCGTGCCGTCTTGCACCGCCGCGCGTCCACCGAGATCGACGTACAAGTATAAATGCATGTACCTGTGTTTATGTTGTTTGTGTGTGTGTCTCTCATTATATTCGTCGACCGAGAGGCCTTAGCATTCCTCCATATCCATACACATATAGTTCCGATCCCGTAAATATCATTATCTAAAAAAAAAGGTCCCGTGAATATATATGCAGTACGTAGGGTACGTATTTGTACACGGTGTTACACTGCTACGTGTATGTATATGCCACTGTGCCAGTGTGATGATGTTAACGTTGCATGCGTATTATTCACTGATATTAATAATGAATGTGATGAGTATTTGTCTATTGTACTACCGTTGTATTTTGTAAATTTAATATATATGCCCATGCATTACGGCAGCTTACACACAAATTATCTGATACATATATGTTGTAGTAACGTACAATCAGGCTCGGCAGACTAACCACCAACCTAAGCATACTGGTGGTCTACAGTTGGGCACCAACCTAAACACGAGGTCTTTTGCTAGGATGGTCCAGTTTCGGCTGTGTTAGGTCGACTTATTCGACGCTCGATAGAAGCGCATTGTATGTTTCTTTAAACTCTTCTTCTTAATACAATGATACGCAAAACTTTTGCGTATTCGAGAAAAAAACAGTTGGGCACACACGATATCTTTTATCTTCCATCCTATTTGCGCTCTCCTCTAAGTTAGGTACTGTTTGTTTCGGTGATTGTATCCCTGTAACCGTTTGTGGCACGATCAACTTCCATTACTGCGTATTTGTTTTAACTGGACCGAAGCCGTTCACAGAGGGATCCGATACAGACAGTCGAAAGGTCTTTACCGCCCACCTAGCTAATCCATTTACGCTACTCGCGGGTTGTCGCATGCGGCAAATCGTGTTTTTCAGTGCAGCAGGTAGCAGTGACAGCTCTTTCCATTTACGTTAATTACCACTCTCCACATGGAACCAAACAAACACCTTAGTTGTGTACTGTATGGCCTGCATGCCGATGTATGGCCTCATAGGCAACTTCCACGGTTCCATCCCAGGCATATATCGTATCCCTAGGTGTCCAAAATCAAACACTTGGGATCCTTGCTACATGTGCAGACAAGGTTGCCTGGTGAAAAAACAAAATAGGCCACAGGTGCTACGGATTTTGAAATTTGGAATCCTTCGATACGGGCATGCATCCTAGCCCTAGGTATCCGAAATTGGACACCTAGGATGGTTGCATATGCCAAACAAGCTTGCTTGGAGAGACTAGATTGAGAAACTAATAAACAACCTCTATGTGCTATGGATCTTCTTGATCTTGAAATTTGCAGTACTAGAGCATTGCAACATAAGAAAACAAAATGGAGATGGAGTGCCCATGGACGGATCTAGCGGTGGGGTTGGGGTTGGGGGTGGGGGGGGGACTCAAACCCCCTAGCACCGCTAATCCTTGGAGCCCCCCAGAGCCCCTCTAAGAATTTTTGGCATGGTTGCTTTGAGGAGGGATAGGTTAAAGACGAGCTTTCAGCCCCTGAACTTCCATCCTAGATCTGTCACTAAGAGTGCCCTAATTGTTTCAACCACACCATTGGACTTCTATTCAGGAGTGTTTGGTTTGGCTCACCTTGTAGGTTTTTATTGTTAGGTCGTGCCTTCAGACCTCTATCCACGAGCATGACAAAAGAGGAGCATTAAAGTGATACTTCGGCTATCTTCGAGATCAAAGACTAGTTCAATGGGTGAGCACTCCATCACATTTATAAGTTGTGCTACTCCACGCTCTCTACTACCTAGCTAGTAAGGTGAGACCAAAGATGGCAGCGGATCGGGTTTGGGGCGGATATCCGCGAGTTTCGGTTCCACGGGTTTCGGTTTTGGTGCCTGTTTTTCGCCCACGGTTTTGAGGGTTCGGATACCCGAAATACCGCGGGTTTGGGGCGGATCCTAATTTTCACCCGTGATGCTCCATCGGGGCCCCGAAAGATGCAGCCCACTAAAATCTCAGCAACCAACCCTAAGTATATGAGCCTGATTGACTGAACCCTCACTCCCTCAGCCTCAGCCCTCAACCCCATCCGCACGGCCGCACCCAGGCAGTAGGCGCGCGGCTCCACGCAGTCTGGCCAGTCCGCGACGTCGCCGACATCTCCAGCCTCGCCTCCGCGACCTCGCCCCATCGCCAGTCCGCGATGTCGCTGACCTCCCCACCTCGCCAGCGAATCCAACAGTCCAGCAGGTACGACGACACATCCCTTCCCTAGATCTCAAGCTGTTGTATCAATGTGTGCCATTTTCTCAATCTTCTCATGTGGCCATGTATGTTTTTGCCTTTTTCACTTGACAGGAAGTGAGCAATGTCGACTCCTGGTGCTACAAGTGGATCTCAAACTATTGTTGTATCTCAATCTATGGGTTCTCGTCCTCGTCTTGCATCCAGTTCAGCAACACCGCCATCCGGTTCAGCAGCACCGGTAACTGATTCTGCAACTGTAGGTAATTATGATGTGGTAGAGGTAGAAGATGATGTCCCTGTTGGTTGTAAGAGAAAGCTAAGATCTGAAGTATGGAAATACTTTGATTTGATTAATGTAAGTGGGGTTTGGAAAGCAAAATGCAAATGGTGTAAAAAACGTTTAGGTGGGGAGACAAGAAATGGTACAACTCACTTGAAGAATCACATTGCTCTATGTTAGGACATAGCTAGTAGAAAAGGTTTAACACAGTCTACTCTTAAATTATCTGCAAACCCAAAAAATGGCAGTGTCACATTAGAGAAGTATGTGTTTGATCAAGATGTCGCTAGGAAAGAACTTGCTTTAATGATTATTGTCCATGAGTATCCTCTTTTCATGGTGGATCATGTTGGATTTCGCAAGTTTTGTGCTGCATTGCAACCAGCATTCAAGTTAGTGTCTAGAAACACAATTAGGAAGGATATCGTCGATATGTATCAGGTGCAAAAGCAATCAATGGTGAATTATATCAAGAAATTGAGTTCTCGTGTTGCTGTTACTATGGACTTGTGGACAGCAAACCACCAGAGGAAAGGTTACATGGCAGTTATAGCCCATTTTCTTGATGAAGATTGGAAGCTAAATTTTTTTCTTATTAGGTAACAATAAATCGCATCATTTTGTGTTCTTGTGTTATGCATTTTGTCTATTGACTATTGAGAGCAATCTGTCCAGCACAATCACTTACATATTTTATTGTTGTAGGTTCATTTATGTTCCAGCACCACATACAACAAAGGTTATAGCAGAGGTTCTTCATGTTGTTCTCCTAGATTGGCATATTGAGAGGAATCTGTCCACTATAACTCTTAACAACTGCAGTGTCAATGATAACGTGATGAAGATTATGATTGGCACTAATGGTGATGACCTTGTAAAGAACAAGGCTGCTATAGAAGGCAAGTTATCACTCTGCTCTTGTATGTTGAAGGGCAAATTAATTCATATGCGTTGTGCTGCATATATTTTTAATTTGATTGTGAAAGATGGAATGAGTGTCATGGAGAAGGGAATTGATAAAGTGCGTGATAGTGTTGCATACTGGTCTGCCACTCCTAAAAGACATGAGAAGATTGAGAAAATGGCAGCACAAATGAAAGGAAATTATGAAAAAAGAATTGCTCTTAATTGTAAAACTAGATGAAACTCTACTTATACTATGCTTAGCACTGCACTAGTTTACCAAGATGTTTTTGAGCGCCTCGCTCCTCGTGCTCCATGTGTTCCATCTGCAGAAGATTGGAAGTTTGCTAGAGAGCTTTGTGATAGGTTGAAGATGTTCTATGATGTAACTGAGCTACCATCAGGCACTAAATATATCACAGCCAACCTTTTTTTCCCCAAAATATGCAAACATTTTTTTGGCAATTAGGAAGTGGCTAAGCAGTGATATTCCTAAGATAGAAGAAATGTATATTAAAATGAAAGAGAAATTCAACAAGTATTGGTCAGATGTGCATGTTTGATGGCTGTTGCTGCTGTCCTGAATCCTAGGTATAAATTACATCTGTTGAGTGCTCTTTTTCTCAAAATTTATGGGTTAGAAAGTGTAGCTATGGAATCTGTCAGCAATGTGACAGACTTGTTGTACAATTTGGTTTTGGAATATCAAGATACTATTGAGGATGTTGCCACAACAGATGGTGCTGAAACTAGACCAAGAGGTCCTACTCAGATGGACGATGAAGATTGGATGAACACTTTTGATGATTACATGTCCAAACAGCCAGCTGTGACCTCCACTTATGTGCGAACAGAGTTGGATTTATACTTTGAAGAGCCACTGCTGCCTAGGACACAAGATTTGGATATCATTCAGTGGTGGCAAGTTGCAGGGCTCAAATACCCAATATTACGAAAAATTGCACGTGATGTCCTTGCTATTCCTGTGACAACGGTGGCATCCGAGTCAGCCTTTAGCACTAGTGGGAGAATAATCAGTCCACATCGTACTAGGCTTGCACCATCAATGATTGATGCACTTATGTGTATGCAAGCATGGTCTCATAACGACATGTTATGTAAGTGCAATTTCTGTAAGCAGAGGTTCTTCATTCTGTATAAGTTGTAAAACTAATTTGTGAATACTATATCCATGCAGGGCCTCATTCAACTTTTGTTGGTGCTTTGATGACTTGTCTTGATGAAAAATATGAAGAAATGGTATTGCTGTTGTTTCCTTCTATATTTAACTTGTGAATTTACAATGCTATGAACATTCAAATAATGAGCTACTCTCTCTATTTTTATTTCACAGGATGAAGATAAGTCCACTATAATTGATGAATGATGAACTTTGTAATAATTTGGACAGTGTGTGCCTCCAGCGAAGATGAATGCCTCAAGTTGCCTATCTATTTGATAAAAAAAACTCTTATTTATTAATTTTTAACTTCTGTTATTTGTTTGGACTGTAATATGTGATATGTACTGAACTTGGG